ATTTCGTGTATATTTTTCATTATATATATTTCATATATATATTGAATATATATTCATATTACATTTTTATATTATATTTTTTTTTGAAATCAACAAATTATTATTATGTATTTGCATCTAAGTAATATTATATAAATAATAGTAAGTAATATTATATAAATTATAATAATTCAAATATTATATTAAAAATATAAAAATTTAATAAATATAATATATGTAATTTTATTATATTATATGTAAATTGATATGTAAATTTATATCGTTATTTTAGATGTTTCAATTCAAAATAAATTTAATTAAATACATTAAAATATTGTTTAATTATTATAATAAAAATCTTGTTACATTTTTTAATTGGAAAAAGAATTATCAATTTAAATTCAAAATTTATTTTAATATTCATTTTTTTTTATTGAAATCAATAATTATATAATATAATTTTTTAAAAAATGAAAGTATTTCATTATTTGTCTTGTAATATTTGTAATTGAATATTTTAGTTAAAACATTATTTAATAATATTACAAAAATATAATATTATGTTTATGATCTTATATTTTTATTATTGAGTTATTTAAAACAATTTATATTATTTATTTAAAACAATATTATTTATTATATATATTATTTTTTTTAAAACAATCTATATTATTTATTTTATCATTTTATCATATATTCCCACTTAATTTATTTCATCCAATGCTTTTAAATTACATCTTATATATAATAAAGCAAACTAAAATAAATATTTATATATATTGACTAATTGACTTTACCAACTTTGATGATTATATTGAATATAATTCCTAAATTTAGTTTTAACTTATAGAGGGCATATCAAAACCTTTCTTGCACGATCGGTAAATCAAAACATAGGATACAAAATCTCATAAAATGGTAGGTTTATTCTGCACTTTGTTATTGTTATTAAGGATTTAATTTTTAAATTTATTAGGATTAGATCAATAATTATTTTTAATTAAATGTTATTTTAATATTATTTATGTTTAATAAATTTAAATTAAACATTTTTTTTTATAGAAGGATAGTTAGAATTTTCTAACTTTTTGATCCAAATTTAACCTCCATAAATGTCAAATATGAAAATATGAAAAATTATTTAGCTGTAATTGTTGTATATAAATTTGTGAAATTCAGAAATTTTTAAAACATGGTAAATATTGCTGTGTAATAAATAAAAATGAGTGAAACATCTGAGCTACAGAATAAAGATATTGGTCCTGGAGTAATAACAGAACAAGAACGTGAATTGGCTCAAAATGCATTATCTGAATTTCAAAAAGGCTCATATGCTAATTGTTTATCATATTTAAATAAACTGGAAACTCTTAGGCCTAAAGATTTAAAAGTAATGCATAATAAAGTTGTAGTAGAATGTTATAAAAATGATTTAAAAAAAACAGAATTATTAAGAAAAAGCTTAAATGCAATATGTGGACAAATGTCTACAATTGATTCAACTGAAACCATAGATGATATTGAAAAATGTGTTATGAGGTATAATCAAGCAGTTTTATTATATCATTCAAAACAATACAATGCTGCACTTCAAATTATGAATAGATTATTTGCTTTCATAGAACCTATGGGTAAATAATATGTTAATTATGAAAATTTTTATTAAAGCATAAATTAATATTAAATTTAATCTATTTATTATTATTTTTTTTTTTCAGAAGAATCATTAGCACACAAAGTATGCCTTCTTTTGATAGAATTACATATAATAACAGAACAACCAGATGCAGCATTATCTTTAATTAATTATATAGAAAGTCAACTTATATCTACAGATAATTCTAAAATCTCATCTGTTGACAAAGAAGGTATAATTAAATCTATAAAGGAACAGAAGGAGCCAAAAAAAGAAGTTGATACAGCTACAGATGCATTCAAATTAAAATTATTAAAATGCAAAGCTAGAATATACCTTATGATGCATCAGTTGAAATTATGTAAAAGGGAATGGAAGACATTAGTTTCTTTGGGTACACCTGTAGTAAGATATTTTTAGATTTTATATTTTTAGATCTTATATTTTTATATTATGAGTCATATTTTGTATTTAATTTTATTTAATTTCAGAATATATCAACTGTATTTTTAAAAGCTAATCTTGAATATTTAAGAGGGAATTACAAGAAAGCTATTAAATTATTAAATTCTATAACATCAGAAAATTTAGATTTTAAGTATGTTAGATTTATAATCATTGAAAAATTGTATTTTATAATAATAATTTATTTATTATATTTAAATTTTTTTTAGAACTACTGGAGAATCTTCTGCTGTGTTATATTACAATAATATGGCATGTTTACATCTTGCTATGGGTAAACCAAATTTAGCATGTTTTTATTTAAGAAAAGCTTTACATGAAAATAAATGTGCTCTAGAAAGTGTACAAATGAAAGATAGTGGTAATTATAACTAATTTCTATTTTATAATTTTTTATATAAGAATATTGCAAATAATAATTGAAAAAGAAAAATTGTTTTTATATAGATCCTTTATCTTTGCAACCATTGTGTACTCTTGGTGGGAATAAACATTATGAATTAATGTACAGTTTAGGTGTATCTTTATTGCATGCAGGACAAGCATCAGTAGCTTTTGATTGTTTTATGGATGCTTCACAAAAGCTTCATAATAATCCTAAATTATGGTTAAGAATTGCCGAATGTTGTATTTATTGTCATAAACCGGTAAATATATTATTACATGCTTATATTAATTAAATTGTAATAAAAAATTCAAGAAAAAATTAAATAATTTTTTTTTAGAATTTTATTTATTATTCTAATACATTATTTCACTATTTTTCAGACAAATGAAGTTGATTTTAATATTCCAAAACGAAGAAAGGATTTAGTACAAAAAGTTGTTGGTTCAGGAATTAATAGAAAAATTATTTTAGCTTCCTCTCTTTCCAAAGATATAAAATATCATCCTGAAGGTTTTCCTTCTGCTATACCACAATTAACATTGGAATTTGCATCTCTATGTTTAAAGAATGCATTATTTTTATTACCAAGTAATAATGAACTTAATGTACCAATTACAACAATTGCTCACAATCCACAAACAGTATCTTTATCATTAACAGCTGGTCATAATTTAGGTATTTAAATAATATTATATATATATAAAATGATCAAATTTACAGATATATAATATAATATTTGCATTAAAAATATTTTAGGCACTCAACATACTACTTTAATGTCTCAAACTATAGCTATTGAGGCATTAAATTTAAAAATTAGTGTTTTGGCTGCAAGTGCTTATGTATGTTTATGTCTTGGTGATTATGTTATTGCACTTGAACATGCTAAAGCATTATTACATATTAATAAATTACCTGGAGCATATAGAATGTTGGGAAATCTTTATGCAGCAGAAAGTTTGATATTAATGGATAAAATTAGTGAAGCCATTGAATATCTTAAACCAGAAAATATTCAAGACTTAAATACTTCTGTACTTATTCCTGAAATTCAAGATAAAGATAAAGAAAAATCTGATGAGGTTATTTCAAAACCTATAAAAAGTAAACATATTATTAAAATTATTTTATTTTATATATTTTATATTTTATTTTATATAATTTTATAAATAATTATTATATAAAATTATTAATAATAATTTATTTATAGTGTGGTATCCGACAACGGTCCCTACAGGTATTGCTGTACTCCGTTACAATTTAGCTGTAGCCTATGCTATTCGTGGTGAACTTGATAAGTCTGGAGAAACTTTAAAACAGGTAATTAGAATTTATGGCTTTTATATGTATATATTTTCTATGTAGATCTACATATAAATTATTTTGATAATATATATATTTATCATTAATTGATGATTTTAATAATTTTTAGGTTTGGATGTCAAAAGGTCCTGATTGTGATGTTCCTATACATGTAATAATGTTAGCCTTATATATAGAATTACAATTAGGTAATAATAATATTTTTAATTATAAATAATATTAAGAAAAAATTTATTAATAATTTTATTTTTCTATAATAGGTCATGTAGATATTTCAAGGTCAATAATAAAACAACATTGTCCACAATATCGTTGATGATAAATTTTATAATTGTACAAATTTTCTTTCTATACATGTAAATAAATGTATACCAT